TGGGAGGAGGAGGAGGAGGAGGAGGAGGAGGAGGAGGAGGAAGCGGAGGAGGAGGAGGAGGAGGAGGAGGAGGAGGAAGCGGGAGGAGGAGGAGCGGAGGAGGAGTAGGAGGAGGAGGAGGAGGAGGGAAGGTGGTGTCACGAGAGATGCACGAAGATAGCCCTCGAGGACTGGAGTGGTCGGTAGGGGTGTGAGAGCCCAGGGTCTCTTTGGGCCCCACCCGCCCTCCAGGGCAGGTAGCAGGAGGGAGGCGCCAACGCATCGCACGTGCTCACCCTGGCGAGCTGGGGTCGGCGGATCCGCGCATCCTGGCGCGGGCCCCTGGAATCACTCGGAGGGAGATGAGCAAGGGCAGATTGAGGCGGCGGGCGAGTGGGGGGGAGGTGGAGGGGTCGGAGGGTTGGTGGAAGGAGTGGAAGCAGGGAGCAAAAATTGCTGAGGAGACAATTTGAAGAGTAGGAGGAGAAGGGGGTGTGAAAGAGGAGGAGGAGGAGGATCAGTGAAAGCCCAAGACTCACCACCGCTGTTGCAATAAGCCCTCCCTTGAAATTCCCTTTTCATGGATTTCCACGAGGATCTATTTTCACTTAGGGAAGAGCCTCGTTGGAAGACAATCCTCTGAAAAGCCGCAGGTAATCATTACTGCTGCGCCCTGACGTTCCTGAATCGTGCCAGAACGCCGTCCCTGGGACGTCAACGAAGCTAATCAACGTGACTGTCGCGCCCTGACGTTACTGGGACGTCAAACATAATCATCTTCGAATGTGATGTAAATTCTTGTGGCGAATGTGCGCGGCACTAAGGCGAGAGCCACATTTCGAAAGCGGACCGCGCTCCATCTGTGACATTTCTGCAAATTTCTGAAACGAATGTGCGTGGAGCTATGGCGAGAGGCACCTTTCGGAAGCGAACCGCGCTCCATCCGTGAAACTGTTGCAAACTGCTAAAACGAATGTGCGCGGCGCTAAGTCGAAAGCCACATTTTGAAGGTGGGGCGCCCTCCATCTGCGAAGCTCTTGCAATGTTTTAAGACGGATGTGCGAGGCGCTGGGGCGAGAGCCATATTCTGAAAGCGGCCCGCCCTCCATCAGTAAAATTGTTGCAAACTTCAAGCTTAAAGGTCATACATGGTGAGGAAGTCTCTGGCGAAACGCCCGGCCCGCCCTACCAACACGCCTCGGGGTGCGACAGGGAGGGGTTATTTATAAGGAAAAGGAAAGGAGGAGGAGGAGGAGGAGGAGGAGGAGGAGGAGGAGGAGGAGGAGGAGGAGGAGGAAGAGGAGGAGGAGGAGGGAAGAAGAGGATGAGGAGGAGGAGGAGGAGGAGAAACGAGAGCAGGGGGGAGGAGGGCAAGGCTGTCCCTGGCCTGCGGGGCCGCTTGGGAGATGCTGAGGAAAGGAACCGTTTGGGATCGGCGGAGGTAAGGACGTGGCACGCGCATGTCTGACACCGTTCGCACGAGTTCGCGTTGCCTGTCTGCCAGAACAGCGTTCGCATGCATGGTCGATACTACTGCATTCCTGGAGGGCGCTAGACTCGCAGGGGCACCGTCACAAACAAGCGGAGGGCAGGGGACGCGTTCGGACACATAGCGGTGCGACGGGTGCTTGGGAGTAGCGATTTGTCGGGCAACGGCGGACGGATTTAAACTTGGCCGCGAGTTCGACGCCGAGGGTCTCGTTCACAATATGAGCGAATTGCAGCGGACGTGCTGTGAGTTATTGGGGGCTGCGGCGGCTTCTGCCAGCTCGAGCGCACCTGCTTCTGCACTTGTGGTGCCGTCTGGAGCTCCTTCGGCGCCAGAGGCAGTTACCGCAGGCGTAGATCCGGGCGCTGCGGGCTGCGGCACGATGATGCAGAAGCCGCCGGCCCCAGAGCCCTGGCGACGGCCGCCAGAGTCCCGGCGATGGCGGAAGCGGCACGGCGGATGGCGCTGAGGCGCCAAGTGGGAAGGCGCGCCGCCAACCCCAGACCGCGGCAGCAGCGTGGATCGGACAAAATACCCGGCGTGCCCTCAGTGCACGGTTGATGACCACGCTCCCTGCGGCCATCCCCACTCGCACCCCCCACACACACTTTCCCCGCGCGAGCTAGCAGCCGCGTGCGCGGCCAAACGCGGCGCGGCGTCGACGCCCACGCCGCCTTCGCCCGAGCAGCCTTACGAGGAAAAGGCCGCCCGCGAGCAGCCCGTTCACGGCTCGCGCAGCCGAGGCGCCGCCCGGGGCCGAACGCAGCGTCGACCGCAGGTCCTCGGCGCCCACGCGCAGGCAGCGCTGAGGGCCGCGCGCCAGCACGACCGCGGCGGAAGGGGGGAGGGGGGGAGGGGGCGACGAGGGGGAGAGGGGTAGAACGCGCAGCTCGACATCATTATTTGAGCTGCCTCGAGCCAACTTGGAATATGGATTGAGTCAGAGGGTTTAAGTTGGCAGATCTCCACTGCGAGCGGACGTGCTTCCATGAAGACTGCAACTGGCCCGGCATTGTTTTTCCTTGTCCTCATCGCTGTCTTCCTCGCGTTCCTCGTCTTCGTCTTCGTCGCCTTTCTTTCGCCCGTTCCTCCCCCCCCCTCCGCTTCCGAGACAGGCGCCAGCGCCGATGTCATGGCGGGGCGCGGTGCTTCGGCGGTCGCGCGACGCGGCGCCGCCGCCCGGGCGCCCCAGGACCCCCCCGCGCCGCCCGTCGGCCGCGGCGACGGCGGAGGTGATTCGAGCGGCGGCGGAGGCCGCGGTCAGCGCCGCGGCCAGGGCGCTCCAGCCGCCGCACGCGAAGGCGATGCCGCGGCCGCGGCCCATGGCGCCAGCGCGGCCTTCGCAGGCGCCGCGCCTCCTGGCGATCGAGGACGCGCCGTCCGATGCGCCGCCAGGCGCCTGGGCCGCGCCATGCCCGCCGGCGAGGGCGACAGAGGAGCCGACGGCGCCGAGCTGGCCGCGCTCCGCGCGCGGCAGTGGCAGCGGGGAGCCCGCGCGGGCGCCGACTCGCCGGTCGCGCTGGACGTCGGCGCGCGCGACGGCGACGCCGAGGGCCAGGTCGCGCTCAAGGGGGCCCCCTCGGCGGCGGCGCCCACGGCGGCGGCCCGGGCGGGCGCCGGGCCGCAGAGCGCGGAGAAGGAGGCGAGGAAGAAGGAGAAGACGGAGAAGAAGGGCAGGAGGACGCGGAGGCGCAGCCCACGCGCGGCCCCTTCCAAGGAGGTGAACTAGTCAGGCCTCCTGCATTTGAATGTGCATGGCAAGCACATGGCGAAGCAGGCGGCTTGGGTGAGGGCGACGCTACAGATGGTAATGCACTTGAGCGCTACGGCGTCGACAACGGCGACGACGCGGAGCAGTGCGAGTCGGGCGCCAGCAGTGGCCCGCTGCACGACTGGTTCGACAACAGGGCAGCCTCCTGCATCTGAATGTGCACGCGGAGCACACGATGATGCTGGAGTGCGCGGCGCCGTACTTGCCGGAGACGGTGCCGCGCTGGAGTGGGCGAGCATCAATGACAGCAAGGACGAGGATCTGGAGGAGTACATGTGCCAGCGGCCCGCCTGGAGCCAAGGGGGAGCAACTTTGTTGACCGCATCCTCGTCGACCCGAGGCTGTTCCGCGACCTGGAGACCAGGCCGGCGAGAGTTTCGGCGTCGGCGGCAAGTGGATAGTAGGGTCATGCTTCCCGTGCTTGAATGTGTACTTGGAGCACATCACGACGCTGGAGTGCGGGGCGCCGCGCATGCTGGAGGCGGTGCTGCACGGGAGTGCCAGAGCGCCAACGACGGCGGGGACGGGAAGCAGGAGGAGAAGCTGGCGGACATCCCGCCGTTCCCGCAGCTGCGGGGCGAGACGGCCTGTCTGCTGGCCGCGCAGGACGAGCAGGAGAAGGCGTGGGAGGTGCTCTTCAGGGGGAACGGGGGATGCTACATGTGGGAGCAGCAGGCCGAGGCGGACAAGCGGCTGCGCGCGGACACGGCCATCGGCGCGGTCGGGCAGCAGGCGGACACTGGCGGCCCCAAGACGGTGGTGAAGGAGAAGGAGAGCGAGGCCCCCGCGGCCCGCAAGGGCGCCGCGATGGTGGACGCCGCGACCCGCGAGACGGCCCTGGCGAACCTCCACGAGGCGCCGGGCCTGGCGACCAGCGGCGAGCTGGAGGACAACGGCTTCAGGGTGGAGATCCTCGAGGAGATCGGGGCCTGGTCAGGCTTACCAGCCGGCGCGGGCGACGCGGACGGCAACGGCTCGATCGACCTGGAGAGGAAGTTCACCGACGAGGACGTTACCGAGATAATCCGCATGGTCGTCGTCAAGATCGAGATTCCCGAATCGGCGCCTTCGTCACCCTTCAGGCCCTTGTGAGGCCACGGGCCATGGGGGGTGCCTACCCTGCCGGGTTTGGGGGCGCTCCATGGGCCGCGGTTTTGGGGCGGCTCTGCCGGCCAGCCCTCGTCGGGCCTCGGTTTTGCGACGGCCGCTGCCGCCATGGCCCTTGTGGGCTTTCGGCCCCGCCGAATCTCGGGGCTGGCAACCTCCCCGAGGCGGGGCGGCGTGCGAATTTGTTCACATGTCTGTAGGCAGTGGCGCTCCTCTTCCGCCTCCCCACTCCTCCTCTTCCTCCCCCTCCCCCTCCCCCCCCTCCTCCTCCTCCTCCTCCTCCTCCTCCTCCTCCTCCTCCACCTCCTCCTCCTCCTTCCCTCCCCAATTCCCTTTCGTGGCCCCTGCAGGACCTCGGACTGCCCGAGCTGCGGACCCCCCAATCCCCCTCGAGGGCGCCTTCCCAAGCCCACCCGAAGAGGTCTTGTGGTACCAGCTGCTGATTCGCGTCGAGCTCGGGCAGCTCCAGAGTCCACACGAGACATCTTTCTTTTGGGGGGGCACATGACATAATGGCTCACGGGACGCACGGGCGAAGGCACTGGCGACGGCGGGGCGGGTGGGGGGGGCGGAGAGCGCCAGCGCAGCTGCAGGAGCAGTAGGAACAGGAGGAGCGAGGGGCCGCCCACCCCGTCGAGGGTGCCCCTTCCGGAGGCCTTGGAGCCTGGCGCCGTGGTCCTCTATTGGGGCGACCGCCGGGGCATCATCCGCGACTCGTTCGCGCCGCTCGACGAGTTCTGGGTCGCGGGCGCGCCCGCGCCATCCGCGCGACCAGCGACCGGCGCCGCCGCGAGCCACGAGCCGCTGCCGCGACGAGCGATTAGCGTCGCCGCGAGCCGCTGCTGCGACCCGTTGACGCCATCGACCGCAGCAGCGGCGGCCCGCGCGGGCGCGCCGCTTCTGCGCGCGCCGGCGCCGCGGAAAGTGGTTGCCTCCGCCGCCGCGGCCGCGGGCGGCTGCCGTTCGCTGGTGTTGTTCGTGGTGCGGTCGTCGTCAGCCTGGTGCTGGTCACCCTTGTCATTGTCGTCTTGTTCGCATGCGTCTTCGTCCTCTTCTTCGTATTCGAATCGTCCGTCCCCTCCTATCGTTTACTCACCCTCCTCCCTCTCATCCTTCCGGTTGCTGCTGCTGTTCCTTGCTCATCCCCTTTTCTCTATTATATTTCCTCCTCGTCTTCGCTTCTCATCTTCCAGTGTCATTATATCTTCCTCCCTCTCAAGCCTCCTCCTTTCCCCCATCCATCCTTTGTCTTATCGATTAACTATTTTCCCCCCTTTGCACCACCCGGCGCGTCGGTAGGGCGATCCTGGTATTCGTTAATTTATAAAGCCATACGTTCACATTAGTACAGCAGCTTGCGGATGGATTGCGACCCCTCTTGGGTTCCTGGAAGCCCGATAGGGGAGAACACACCAGGCCGTTTTGAGCGCCCTGCTAGAAGGGATATTCGTTTATGCCGAATCGTTCGGAAATCAATTTTGTTACGCAGTCGAACATATGATTAAGAAACCCTCTCCCGGAAAGCTTGGCCAACGTTTCTTACCCAGCTTGCCGGAAAGTTGCTGCAGTTGCTTGAGCACGTTCGCCCTCCAGCGCTAACGACAGGAATTGACCCAGGTGTGTTTCGAGAAACGTCTTGGAAAGTTGCCCCGATATCTTGAATGATAGTTGTCTAGAATAGATTGTCGGCTATGTTCTGTTAGCTTCTTGGTCTCTACGATTTGTTTGCTTATTAGGCCCAGGGTGGCCCAAGAGGCCTCCGAGAGGGCTCTTAGCACATCCGGGATCATGATGGGAGGTGGAGGCCCCCATCCACGCTCCGTGGGCCTCTGGAAAAACCATTTGGGGAAACCATAAAGGCCCTCGGGAGCGCGCTGGACCGCCGGGTAATCGTGTGAGTTGTCAGGGGTCTGCGCTTGCGGGGGTCTGCCAATCCCCTTTGGCTGACCCATATTTGGGAACCACGGCTGATTCCCCATGTTTGGGAGCTCTGAAACGGCCGGCCTGTATTCGCGACAGGGCCGTGGCTGACCCGGATTCGTGCGTTTCCGAAGTTGAGGACCTGAGATTTCCAACGTGAGTTTACAATGTGTTGGCATCATTGTTAAGGCAGATTATTCCAAGGGGCCCAAAGACATTCCCAGCAGTGCCTACGGCACGGTAGCGAGCGCAATGCCTATTGTCATCTCTGTGAGCCAGCGGAATGGATAGGCGGCTCCTTTTCAAAAAGGGTTCTCGCTTGAATGGTAAAGGGGACGCTTCCCGCAGTGACGATGAATCCTGGCAGGGACTTGCGAGGGGGGACTCGCAACGGGTCGCTGATGCACCCTCCCCCTCCCTCCTCGTCCCCTTCCCCTCTCTGCCCCCCCTCCGTTGACGACGGCCACCACCACGACCACGCCAACACCGACTCAACGACTACGACGGCGACGAACCCCGCCGCCGCCCCGAGATGAGAGCTCGGGCCAGCTCGTGCGTGACGAGGACCCGGCGGAGGGAGCAATTTGGTTCGGTGGTTTGGTCCGGTGCGGGGGGGCTATGTTTTCGACGTACCCTCGTAAGTAGGACAAGGAGGAGCGCGAAGTGGAAGGGTCAGAGATGGGTGGGGAGGAAGGAGGATGAGCCGCCTCCCCTCCTCCTCATGCTCCCCCTCCCCCTCGTCCTTCTCCTTCTCCCGCTCCTCTCAATCTTCTTTATCTCCTTTCCTTGTAAATGACTCCCCCCTGTCGCACCTCCAGACATGTTCTGCGGTTGAGAGACGGGGTCCGCAGCAGGGGGTCTTCATTGGGTGCAGAATGGACCATCTATGGCCCATGGCTTATGGATCGCCAATTCAAATGCTACGGCATGGTTGGCATCCACTACGCGTTGAGATATCGAGGCGGGAATGCGACGCTCGAGCGTTCTCCGACATGTCGGTGAAGCGGGGTTCGCGTTTCGCTTGAGGGTCCTTCACCATTGATGAGATGGAGGCTCAAAGTTTGCAACAGCTACAAGGACGGACCACATGTCGTTTTTGTTTTGTGAGCTCTTTGTTCAGCGCCGCGCACATTCGTTGCGAAGATGTGCAACTGATGCAGTGATGAAGCACAGGTTGTTTTCAGGACGGAGCTCTCGCCTGAGCCCCGAGCACATTCGTTCTCATCTCAAAGTTGGCAACATGTGTATTATAATGATGGAGCACAGCCCGTGTTCAAAATGGAGTTATCGCCCATATAGCGCCGTGTAATTTCGTTTCAAACGTTCGCAACAATCTACCAGGATGCAGCACATATCGATTTCAGACGTGAGCCCTCGCCTCAGCGCCGCGCACATTCTTTCTATCAGCTTGCAACTTGTTCGGGGATGGATGGGAATTTCTGTTCGCGTCCTAGCGCCGCGCACATGTGCTTGTAGTTATGTCGAGTGGCCTTCTGGCCATCCTGCCACCGTGCCTGGGTTGTGGGTCCGAGTTGTCAGGGATGCTTCTTTGGGGTTCTTCGGGGCGCTCTCGGGGGCCTCTTGGGAGCAGCTTTGGGGCCTCCTCTTGGGGGCCTCTTGGGAGCCTCTTAGGGCTTCTTGGGAGCCTCTTGGGACCTCTTGGGGGCCTCTAGGGGGCCTCTTGAGGGCCTCTGGGTGCCTCTTGGGGGGCCTTCGGGTTCGAGGGCTCGAAGTGTCCGTTCGGGTTCCCCATCTGGGCCCCCTCTGTGGGGCCGCCTCTGGGCCCTCAGGGGCCGTCTTTGGCGCCTCGTGGGCCGTCTTGCGATTTGGGGGGCCTCGTGGGCCGTACTGGAGCGTCGGAAAGCCGAACAGGCGAGGAGGTCAAACACCGAAAAAAATCGAAGAACAATCAACGATGTGTTCCCCGTGGGGCCCTCTTGGGACGCCTCTTGGAACACTCTTGGGACGTCTTCGGGGCCTCTTGGGCCTTGTTGAGGCCATCTTGGGCGCATTGGAGTGTTTGTTGGGCCCATGTTTGGCTGGCTGCGCAATTGGAGGACGCGCGCGACACGCCCGGGGAATCCCTGGGAATCTCTGGAAATGCTCGAAAATCTTTGTGGAACCGGTTTCCCTGGCCCTTGAAGTTCTCTTTAACTTTACAGTTCTGAATTTCTCAGAGTTGCATGAGCTTCAGGGCAATCCACTACGTGCTACAGGCACGGTGGCGGATTGTAGTTACAGGGGAGGGGGACAGTACTGTTTCAAAATTGGGCTCTCGTTTTTGGGGGCTCCTGCATCCTAAAGCCCAGAAGCTTGAGCAGATCTAGCAGCCTCGCTGGTGGAGGGCGGTTAAATTTATCATGTGTGCATGCATACATACATATACGTATGCAGACACACGAGTATGTATACATACACAGGTTCTGCAAGTGGATACACCAACGCACACACAGACACGCACGCACACACGCGCACATTCACCCTTGAGCCGCAAGGAGCACTGTATGCGTGTTTCCCGTCGCCTGCTGAAGGTGGAAACCGGCGCATTCGTACGTATGTGTTTGCGCTCACGTGAAGCAACATATTCGTATGCAAAGACAGGCATGCATCTACATATGCACGCATGCCTGCGAATCGTGGTATAGGTCCGGGCCATTCTGTAGCAGAGGGAGGGGGGGTAGGTCCCCCACCCCCTCCCCCGCCTGGGTTGGGAATGGTCGGTGGTTACGGGACCCCCTCCCCCCTCTCTCCGTGTGCAGGGGGGAGGGGAGTTGTCGTACCACCCCCCCACGCTCCCTCGCGCAAGCAAGCGGCGCCAGGGGGAGAAGGGATTGTCATAGCCCCCCCCCCCCACCCACACACACACACACACACACACACACACCCTGCACAGGGGAAGGGGGGAAAGGGTGGCTCGAAACTCCCCCATTTCCCTGCGGCAGGCGGAGGGGTTAAGGGTGGGGGTGTGGAGGAAGGGGGGGGGTGGGGGGCGGTTTCGGAGACCCTCCTTCCGATCTGTTTCAGCCAAGCGCCCGTGAAGCGCGATCCCTCTCACATCTGTTTAACGATCTCCTTTCCCTCCCTTGCTCATCACCCATCATCCCTTCTACGCCCTCGACTCCACCCACGAGCGTTCGATGCGCCCCATACAGGACGAGAACATCGTCTCCTTCGTGGCTGACGACCTCGTTCCAGTCGCGACCGCGCCCTACTCCAAGTATCTGGTACAGGATGCAGATGGGACCGATGGCGCCCCCGCGAAGGCAGGTGGGCGGGTGTTCGGCAGTCGGGTGTTCCTCATTTTCCTCGTCTCGATTCCCAGTCTTCACCCTCCTGCATACTCGTTTGCTACTGCTAAGTCGTACCACCATGACTATGACGGCCACCGGTGTTGTTGAGCGCTGCTAGCTCTGCCTCTCGCCTCATACTCCTCACCTCTCACCCTCCTCCTTTGCAGGTGCTCGGGAGGCATGGGCACGGGCCGCAATGAGAAGGAGACGAGAGCAAAATGGCGATTGGGGCGTTGCCACTTGATCTCAACATGGTAACGGCTCGGCATCGTCGTCGTCGTCGTCGCCTCCTCCTCTCATCGTTCCTCCTCCTCCTTCCCTGCCTGCTCACACTCTTTCTACGTCTCTTCTTCCATCCTTCTCCGTTCGCCTGCGCCTCGCCCCGCGATCCTCTGGTGGGGGCGTGGCGGCTGTCAGGCCAGGAGCGGGTCTCCTGACTTGCTCCCTCTAGCGTGCCCGCTAGGCGCCCATGGGAGCGCGGCGGTCGCCCATCAGTGCCGTATCCTCCTCCTCCTCCTCTCATTGCTCCCCCTTCCCCCTCTACTCGAACAGTAACCTACTGTTCCTGCCGCCTTGCCCTGTCCAATCTTGTCCCTTTTCCCGCGGCCGTTTTGCTCGGGGGCACGGAAAGGGACGCGGCTGAAATGTTGTCAGCTCTTCGACCGGAGCGTGACTGTTGTGGTTGCCCGTGGTGTTCCTGGTTCCGCCGATTCGGAAATTCCGGGTTTGGGCTGGCAATTCTGGGTTTCGCCAGGGATGATTCTGGGTTCGTTTTGAATGGAATTCCGGATTCCGCCCGGGAGAATTTCGGGGTACGCTTGCCGACCTCTATCCATCCCCTCATCCCCGCCGACCTCTCCACCCTTCGCCCTCCCCCCTCCCTCCTCCTCCCAGCATCCTTCTCCCCTCGCCGTCCCCCCTCGCCCGTTCTTCCTCTCCCCTCCTTTCTCCCTCTCCTCTCCCCCCCCCTTCTCCCCCCCTCCTCCCATCCCCATACCTCCTCCTCCTCCTCCTCCTTCTCCTCCTCCTCCTTCTCCTCCTCATCCTTCTCCTCCTCCCCATCTTCCTCATCCCCCTCCTCCTCCTCCTCCCGCCCCTTGCCTTCCTTCTCCACAACTAGATAATATGAATACTCCGTTCCTCTCTCCCCCGAAGACGCCAGTGAGGTGTCCTGGCCTCCTCCGCGTATGCTTTTTTCACACGGTATGCCGCCGAGTTGATGATTCATGCGCGTTTTGTCCCAATCCGAACGCTTCCAGTCTTTTCAAACGATCGTTCCCGCTACAGCGTTAGCTCCACTTTCTTGTTCCCGCTGTAGCACGTTCCCGCTGTGGCGCTGGCATCATTTCAATGTTTCGGCTCTTCCAAATGGTGTTCCTGCTGCCGCGTTGGCTTCGTTTCCGCGCTTCAGTCCGTCCAAATCGTGATCCCACTGCAGCATTGGTCTCAGGTTTGCGGTTTCGGTCCTTCGAAATCGTTATCCCGTGGCAGCGCTGGCCTCATTTTGCGTTTCTTGTTTTCCAAACCGTCCATTTGCATTTCCCGTCTTATGTCACTTCTAGTGCTCATCTGACCTTGTTCTCGAAATGAGTCGCGTTCTCGAGGCGATGCCATGCTATGCAGTCCTGTACCATGCATCGTATCTTCTCTAACTCTCTCGGGGTCATTGTCTCATTCGATATCCGACTGTGCGACAAAAATAATCCTACGTAATGGTAAGGGATGGGAGGGAGGGGTAACTAGGACGTCAGATATGACGCTTGCCCACCAAGCTCGTCTCCCCTTCCTCTCCCTCCTCCCCCCTCCCTCCTCCTCCTCCTCTCCTCCTCCTCCTCCTCCTCCTCCTCCTCTCCTCCTCCTCTCCTCTCCTCCTCCTCCTCTCCTCCTCCTCCTCCTCCTCCTCCTCCTCCTCCTCCTCCTCCTCCTCCTCCTCCTCCTCCTCATCCTCCACCTCCTCCTCGCCATCCCCGCCGCCTCCAGGCGGGCAAGGTGCTGCTCATCGGGCAGCAGGGCTGCGTGGTCGACATCCTCGAGCACTTTGGCGAGCCCGACGCGCGCCAGAGGCGCGGCGACGAGGACGACGGCGGCGGCGAGGGCGAGGGCGACGGCGAGAGCGATCGCCACGGCGACGGCGAGCGCGGCGACGGAGGCGACGGCGACGGCGATGGCGAGGGCAGGGAGGGAGGGAGGAGCCGGAGGCGGGGGAGGGCGAGGGGGAGGTGGATGAGGTCGGTGAGGACGACGAGGGCTGCGAGGCACGACAGGCCTCGAGAGAGAGGGGGGAAGGAGGAGGTGGAGGCGGTCGACGACGACGCAGCGAAACACGACGGCGAGGACATCGATCAGCGACGGTGGCGGCGGCGACGAGGACGTAAGCCGGCACTCAGGCACGAGCCGCAGCAGTTGCTGGCCATACCCTGCGACATGTGCGCCCCGGCCTCAGCCTCGCCTGGCTGGTCGCGTCGCCGGCCTCCTCTCCCGACTCCTCCTCCCTCCTCGTGATACCATCCTCACGTTCATCTCCGCTCCTCCCTTCTCCCCCTCCCCATCCCCTCTCCGCTCTTAATCTCGCCCTCATCGCCGTCATCTTACCCTGTCCCTCTTTTGTTGTCATGACCCGCCTTCTTCTCCGCCTCCTCATCCTCCTATGTTTCCTCCTCTATCCATCATTCTTTTCCTCCGTTCGCAAGTGGGTGCGCCTTCAGTAATGGCCAATTGTATCTTCATCCGCCTCCTCCTCCCACTGCCTGCGATGTCGTACATCTTTCCTCCAGGCGAGGGACATCACCCTTGAGCCGAGTGGGTCGCGCGTCCACAGTATCTCCGCAGAGCGCGCGTGTGGATACTGATTCATCGATGACAATGGGGAAGGGTATCGCATACATAGCGAAGGACGCGGAGAGAGGGAGACGAAGGAGGACGAGGAGGAGAGAGAGGCGGAGACGAGGAGACGGAGGAGGACCAGGAGGAGAGGCAGGAGGAGGAGGAAGAGGAGGAGGAGGAGGACGAGGAAGAGGAGGAGGAGGAGGAGGAGGAGGACGAGGAGGAGCGGGTTGAGAAGGATGAGGAACAGGAGGGATAAGAAGACCAAGAAGACACGACGAGCAATGACGAGAACGACGACCGCGGCACGGACGAGAACCGCGGCGGCGGCGGCGACGACGACAGCGGCTGCCGTGGCACCGACCGAGGATCCGGCGCAGCTGCAGGCCGCGGCCCACGAGGGCGTTGACGAGCGGGTGAAGGCCGGGGCTTCTTCGGTAGGGCTTTCTGTTCCCCCCTGCCTCCCCGTCACTGGTGACGTCCCCGTCGCCTCCTTCTGCGCTTCCTCCCCCTCCTCCCCCTCCTCCTCTTCCTCCTCCTTCTCCTCCTCCTCCTCCCACTCCTCCTCTTCCTGTCCCCTTGCACCTCGACACCGCGGCTATACATCACCGCCCGCTTGGGGCCACGTGATGGATGTTTCCCGCTTGCCGATTCCCGCTCCCGCTCTCGTGATACAGCTGGGGCACTCCTCTCCCTCTTCCTCCAGGGGGGGGAGGGAGGAGGGGAGTGAGGAGGGGTGAGGGGGATGGGGGGAGGAGGATTCGTGGGGGAACCCTCTCCGCTATCCCGGTTGCTTTCCCTGCTGCTACCTTTCCTGGCTTGCTCCCCCTCCTCTGCCTCTTCCTCTACTTCGTCGAAACTGTTGGCGAGGCGAGCATCCAAGGGAGGACGAGAGAGGGGGGCAGGAGGAAGAAGGGGGAGGAAGGCGACGACGAAGAAGACGGCGACAATGACGGTGACCAGCGACGACGCACTACGACGACAGCGAGCGACGCCGACGCACGGCAAGTCACGACGACGACCCTGGGCGCCCGCGCGGCACAGGCGTTGGCCGAGAGGACCCGCGAGGACATCCACGTGGCCGTGCGTGCGCTGCACCTCAAGCGACTGGTGTCGTTGCTGGCGCCGGACATCCTGCGCCTGGACTGGCCTCCTCTGCGGCGGCAGCGACGACGACGACCACGACCATGACCACGACCACGACGTCGACGACGACGACGACCACGGCGACGATGACGACGACGACGACGACGACGACGACGACGACGACGACGACGACGACGACGACCGACGACGACCACGACCACGACCACGACCACGACCACGACCTTGACCGTGACCACGACCACAACGATGACCACGACGGCCTGGGCGGCGGTGGCGAGGGCGGCGACGGTGGCTACGGGAGGGGAGAAGGAAGAGGGGGCAGGAGGGAGGAGGCGAGCTGGGTGCGCACGCGCCGTATCTGACATCATGCCTTGACTATCAGGCGATCGCAAACATGAATCAAGGGGGCGTGGATTGGCGACGGGTCCCGCTTCCATGGGACATCGCGGATTTCCGCCTCCGAACAAGGCGGCACCGGCCGCATTTTGGGGAGGGCACCTCCCCCGATCCATGGAATTGGCGACCGCGCGCCAAATCCATGGATTGCTAATCCATGTTTGCGCGCACCCGAGTATGACATCATGCCTTGACTACTGCCAGGGCCTCAGTGGTTCGGGAGGGGGTCAGCTCGGGCAAGAGGGAGGTGGTCGCCAACCATCCCTTCTGGCACAGATGCTGGCAAATCTCGCACGCGTGTGAAGGAGATGTGTGTGGGTTGATGGCCGGGCAGCCCTCCCAGATGTTCCCCAACCTCGTACATTCTAAAATGAGACGTTATTGTTCCGCGCCGCGATCGCTAACGAATGACGTGTTCGGCGGTGGGCTTAGTTCTGCAGACAGGAGCAGAGTTGAGACCGACGCAGCACCAAAGTCCGACCCCGCCTATCCATTCCGTCGCATTGCGTTGGACTTGAAACCCCCAAAACGACCTCATCGTGCTATGCGCAATCAGGAAGGGGAGCTGTGTAGTTGAGGAGGAGGAGGAGCAGCAGCAGCAGCAGCAGCAGCAGCAGGAGGATGAGTTTGATCTTTTACTGGGGTGTAGCCGCTACCCCACAAGTGCTGTGCCAGCGCGGGGGTCAGCGGAAGCTGGGGGCTTTTCAGAGCGAAAACAATACCCGCAGGCACCGCCGCTTCGCAGCGTGCTCCAAGCAGGCGGTGCCTCTCCGTCCAACTGGCGACTCGGCATGCAGGACGACAACCTCACCAATCGGGGAGGACCTCAAGTCCCCCGAGTTTGACAGGGCGAAGCCTCAAGCGGAGTCGGGGCCTTCGGCCCCTAACCGAAAGGCAACTTCGCCCCAGTTCGTGGATGGTTTCCGCTCCAGAGGTGGTCCAAGCGGGCACGGGTCGACGAGCCGCGCTCGCAGCTCCTCCCTGCAATCCACCGCTAGGAGCTGGTCGTTTTCGCAGGAGTGCGCTCCACACGAGCTGCAGAAGGTGAACGGGCCGACACACCAAAGGCGGTGGCCTACGGCCGGCCGGTACGGGGCTTGCTTGAGCGTGTTGGCCACCTTGGCCACGCGCAGGCATCGTACGCATCGCATCAGACCCGCAAACTGCACCAGGTCGTGCTCTCCCGCGGGGGCCCCTTCATCAGTGTGAGCCTCGGGGGCAGCCGGCGTCGTCCACAGGTCTCGACATCCCGAGCCGAAATTGTATTGGCAAGAGGGCCGACAGTTTGCAGGTTTCTAGATGTGTACCTGCACACATACGCGGACAGGCTGGCAGACTTCAACACTCGATCGTTCGCCTGCCGATCTTGTGGATGCCTGGACGCTCTGAGCTAAGCGAACTTATGTATCGGCAAACTTGCTACCGAGTCGCCAGTGCCGGGCGTTTGCTGACAGGTGGTCGTCGCGCACAAGCGCGTGCCCCTTGATTTTGACGTCGCCCACGCGCCCTAACACCCGTCCCCACAGGTCGGCGCACATGCCCATGCTGCGTGTCATGGCCTCGCGGTCCTTCTTAAAGCTCGAAAGCACCCAATAACAGTCGAACAGGTAGCAAAAGGGCCCGAGGAAGACGTGTAGAAAGCGCATTATAAGCCCAAGCAGTTTGGCATCTCAGAGCCCTGGAGGAGTCCAGGGACGGGCCCACAGAGCGCAGCCGTGACATCTAGGCTGCTCCCCGAAGTTGGGACCACGGACCGGCCCGCTCCCTCCAGACGGGGCTCGCACGCAAGAGTGGACACGCAGGACCCGTCGCCGAAGGCCTCGCCCTCCAGGTGGCCTCCCGGGGGCCTCACCTCCCAGCTCGCCTGAAGCTCCAGGGCGGGAGGCAGACACCGCACGGCAGGATTGGGCAGGAGACCGTGGCACCATAATGCCCAGTCCTCGCGATCGCGCGAGCCAGAGCGAATCGAGCGAGGGTGGCAGCAGGTAGCCTCGTCAATAGCTTCGCGCGCCCAGGCACGACCGCCGACACAAGTGCTTCAGGATAGGCACGAGGGGGATGAGCGAGGAGGAAGAGAAGGAGGAACAGCAGCAGCAGGAGCAGGAGCATGACGAGCGGGAGGAGCAGGGGAACTTAGGAAAGGCGGAGGAAGGGAAAGGAGCGTCGCGACAAAGACGAGGAAAACATCGGATCCAGAAATGTAGCCAACGTTGGGGCGAGAGCGCTGCCAACACTGCAGCTGGAGCAACAGGTTGAAACAACTTCCAACATATCCCAACCTAGAAGACACATGAAACACATGTTGGTTAGCGCGGGCCCGACACCGTGAGGTATTCACTGTTGAGCTGTAGGATATGGTGTGTAAGCTATGCGGTGTGAGCTATGTTGTGTAAGCCGTTGAGGTGGTGCGAGCGATATGGCGCAAGCTGTGTTGTGTATGCTGTGTGGTGAAGGCTCCGTGGTGTAAACTACTTGATTTGAACTAGTGTTGTGAGCCATATGGAATGATTTCAGCGGCGTGAGCGGTGTGGTGAAAGATGAGCAGTGTAAGCCAGGTGGTGAACGTTCTGTCGTGTACGACGTGTGGTGTGAGCTGTGTGTTGCAAGCCGTGTGGTGTGCGCAGCGTGGTGCGAGCTATGCTGTGGAGGCTGCGTGGTGTGAGCGCACGGCGCGTCCACGGGTCCTCCACGAGCGGGCACGGGCGCAAGCGAGGCGAATGCTTTAGCAGCCCACCCGGCGCACGGTGCACACGAGGCGTCCACGAGCGGGCACGGGCACCCGCGAGGCAGAACCAGGAAGCCCATGCAGGTGCTCGCGAACACGTTGTGGGAGCCCCGAAGTGCACGGTTTGGCGGGGGAGTGTGTGTACTAGCATGCGACGCGCGAACGTCTGTATCTGGGAGAGGCCGCGCCCCGTTCGGATTTGAGCGAGAGTGGGGCGCAGCACTCGTCTCGAACAAGTGTGGAGGGAGCAGGGCAGAGGTACTGGGGACTCCCCCCACACACCCACACTCCTCTTCATTCTCCTCAACCCCCCTTCCACACCACCACCCCATCAACATTACCGGATATGAGTGTTACTCGCACCTCTCTTCCACTACAAGTTGCCGAAAGTATTCCGCCCTTTCCATGTAGCGCATCACACAGCGAGGTTCAACACATGTATTGCCCCATACGTGTTCTTGATCGGAACATGTTCAGTTTCTCGAAACCTGTTCCTCCTCGTGGTCCTCCTCCTTCCTCATTACCCGTTTCCTCCTGCTCCTCCTTCACCAATGTACACAGGTCCCCTTTCCTGAATGCGCATAACACTGTGGGGTCGTTTGTGAGGTTCCAGGTCCGCCAAGACACCCGTCGGCGGGTAGTGAAAAAAACAGCGCAAGGGAAGGGAGCGGTGAGAGGCGCAGGATGTCAGAATTAGCGCGAGTGTACCTAGCTTGTCCGCCTCTCCTCTCTCCCCTCCCCCCTCCTCCCTCCTTCCCTCGTGGCATCTCCCGCTGCAGCGTTGGCCTCATATCAGGACCGGTGATTGCCTCCCGTCGTTCAGGAAGGCGCTCTCGTCCGAGCGAGGGCCATTTTTCTGGATCCGAGTCATTCCTCATCGTGGTCGCCCCTCTCCTTTACTCTCCTCCGCCTTCCCCTGGTGCTATTGCTCCTCTTGCTCATCCCACTCCAGCTCCTGCTGCTGCTGTTCGACCCCGTCCTCCTCTCTCATCCTTTCCTCATCCTGCTCATCAGCCTGCTAATCCGCCACTTCCTCCTCCAGTGTACGCAGCTCCCTTTTTGCCGACTGCGCACATTTTTGCGTCAGCGGCGAGTCAGGGGTCGTCTGCGCTAGCGGAAAGGCCTGAACGGGGGTGCCGTTCAAGCGAATTGTGCCACCATGCAGGAGGGGGGAAGAGGCGGAAGACGCGGCCGAAAGAGGGGGCAGAGGGAGCGAGCCGCTCAGGGGGACGGGCCACGCCCCGAACGCGCGGCGCGGCCACCGATTGCGCACATGCAGCCCGATAAGTTCTTCTTGGGGGGGGGTCCGAGTCCGCTATGGCACGCGTCGGGGGACAGAGAAAAAACAGCGCAGTGGTGTTGCAAGGTTGCCCCATCCCCCGCCCCTGAGGGCAGGGGACGGACTTAGATCCAAAGGGTCACGGGGCCCACGGATTGAGGAGGCAGAGGAAGGAGGAGAAGTGATGATGATGATGATGATGAGGAGGAGGAGGAGGAGGATATTGCTGATGATGATGATGATGATGATGATGATGATGATGATGATGATGATGATGATGATGATGATGATGATGATGATGATGATGATGATGATGATGGTGACGACGATGATGATGATGTTGCTGAGTATGATGATGTTGATGATGATGTTGATGATGTTGATGATGCTGGTGGTGGTGACGATGTTGAGAATGATGATGTTTCTGCTAGTGGCGAGATGGTGATGCTGCTGATGCTGATGTTGCTGCTGCTGGCTATGATGATGATGATGATGATGATGATGATGATGACGATGATGATGATGATGGCGAGCATAATGATGATACTGACTATGATGATGATGTTGATGATGATGATGATGGTGATGCTGATGCTGTTGATGTTGATGGTGATGGTGATGGTGGTGGTCATGGTGCTGGTGATGGTGATGATGGTGATGATGATGGTGGTCAGGATGATGGTGATGCTGAGATGGCGACATGGAGGTGATGATGATGATGGTGGTGATGATGAATGGTGATCGTGATAGTGATGGTGGTGGTAGTGATGGTGATGGTGGTGGTTGTGATGATGGTTGTGATGATGGTGATGGTAGTGGTGATGGTTTGGGTGATTGTGGTGGTGGTGGTGGTGCCGGTGGTGGTTGCGATGATGGTCATGATGATGGTGATGGTTGTGGTGATGGTGATGGATGGTGATGGTGATGGTGATGGTGATGGTGATGGTGATGGTGGCGTCATCATGATGCTGATGATGAGGATGAGGATGCAGGAGGGAAGAGGGAGGAGGGAGGAGAGAGGAGGGAGGAAAGAGAAGGAGGAGGAGGAGGAGGAGGAGGAGGAGGAGGAGGAGGGGGAGGAGGAGCAGGTGAAGCCTGATTCTCCTCATCCGCCCCCACTCCCCCACCCCGCGCGCACCCGCCGCCAAGCCCGCAGCCGCAGGCCCCGAACCATATCCACACCGCCCCACCCTTTCTGCACGCGACGCGACGCCGATGCCGGCGATGCGCTCCGCGGCGGTGGCCGCGCTCCTGCCGTGGGGCGCCCAGGCGTTCCTCCTCGAGAGAGGGATGGGCAGGGGCGCTCCACCTCCTCTCTCCGTTCGCCCATCCCCCACGGAGGAAACAGGAGGAGGGGAGGAGGGATGAGAGAGGAACAGAGAGGAGATGCGGAGGGAGGAGGGACAGGGGAGTTGAGGAAGCGAGATCAGCCTGTGATCTACTATGCTCTCCTCGTCGAGGGGGGGGGTGAGGAGGGGGGGGGCGGAAGGGAAGTGGTCGAGGAGAAGGGGGCAACGGAAGTGGGTCGAAGGGGGAGAGGGGCGAAAAAGAGGTGAGTGAAGGGGGTCGAAGGGGAGGGTGGAAGATGGGGAGGGGCAAGGGAAGCGTCGGGGAAACGTATGACTTGGGTTTTCCAGAAGTTCGGTCAGCGGCCGCCTGTTTGCAGCCCTGGAGTGAGTCTTGACGGTCCAGTTTAGCTCTGATGCTTGCAGCAGGAAGTCGCGTAAGATATCAGACTAGGTCCCGTCATGTTTCTGACGTCCCCATCGAGCAAGCTCGGGCACCCCCAACTCGAGTCTCACGTCTTCCCGAAAGTGGTCGAAGAGGAGTGCGCAAGGGAGGGGGGTCGAGGAAGAGAAGGCAAGGGAGGGGGGTCGAGGGGGGAGGGGGGGAGGAAGGGTCGAGGAAGATAAGCCGGCAGGACAAATCTGCCTGAATGGGGGTGCTTCGAGGATGAAATTCGGCCCTGTCTCTCATCCCCAGGGGGAGGGTCGAGGAAGGCACATCGGCATGGAAGTCAATTTTCTCGGGGGTGCGCGCGGGTTTCTTGGATCGGCGCTGGACGCCCTTGGGCGGCGCCTGCAGCGCCGATCGAAGAAATCCGCGACGGCCTCCGAACGTGTGTGTGTGTGTGTGTTTGTGCCGGAACTTTTTCTCAAGGAGGGAGGGTAAGAGGTTCTTGGAATGTTGGATGGCGGATCTCCTTGTCAGGCTATTTGTGGTTTGGACTGACAATGATTTTTGGATGTGTCGATGTGGCCCTCAGATGAGGGCCCCATGGCGACGGCAAGACAAGAAGAGGGGGAAGGCGACGGGATGGGGGGGGCGGGGGGGGGCGGAATTTACAGGGAAACGGAGGTACCCATTTTGCACCCAGACGAGTTGGGCGAAAGCACCTGGGGCCAAAGTGCGGCGAAGGCGGGGAGGGAGCAGCGTCGAGAAGGAGAAGTCGGGTCCTCCTCCTATTCCTGCCTTCCTCTTGTCTCCCTGCCTCCCTCTTCCTCGCCGATCCCTCCCTCCTCCCGGTCTTCCTGCTCGTTGCTCCTCCTCCCTCCCCCTCCACCCTCGGGTATGCGGGGTGTGGGGCGGCAGCGAACCATGGCAGTGTCGTGAAGACGTGGTCAACTCTAGACAGCTCTTATAGGGAAAACCGCAGGGTCTGTACCGGGGGCGAGGGCTTTCCAGGGAAACCCACGAAGCTGTCAGAAGTAAGATGCGAGCTGGCCAGGCCGTGGGGCGACGCGCCTGCGGCGCCTTTTCACGAGGAGGGGAGGGCGGAGGGGGGGGGGGGGAGGATGGAGGAGCAGGCAGAGGGCAACGACGAGGACGGGGAGGAGGCAGAGGGATGGCGGCGTGCGGAGGAGGAGCTCCTCCCTCTGAGCGCCCAGGGCCTCAAGGCGCAGGCCGAGCCTGAAGATGCCCCGGCCTGGCTGACCAGCCAGGAGGCGCGCCCGTGGGGCCAGGAGCCGTCGTCTGCGTCGCTCGGCCGTCGGTGCCGTCGTCGCCGTTCGTCGGCGTCGTCATCGTCGTCGTCGTTTGGTGTCGTCGTCGTCGCCGTCGTCGTCGTTGAGTATTCACTCCTAGGGGAAACTTGCCGCTGATCTCCAGAAACGGTTCCGCGCGCTCTCGCCCCGACGCCAGCTGCGATTCCTCTGATCACGAGGTTCCCGCTCGATTGCGAGCTTGATTGTAGGTGTGTGCCCTTGGATGCCCGGCTGCGACGGCAACGGCTCACGCTTGATACTTCCTCACAAGTTACCCGGAGACGCCCTGGCCAGAGAGGCCCCCGAATTCAGGAGCGGCGCGCTCACTCGAGACTCCCCCGGGATCCAATCAAGTTGGTGGAGGCCCAGCCACGACGACAAGGGCTCCTGCTCGATACGTCCTCACGAATTACTCCGAGGGCCCCTAGCCGGGAAGGTCCCCAAACTTCGGAACGACGCGTTCGCTCGAGACTACTTGTGATTCTGTCGAGTTGGTGGAGGCCCAACTGCGACGACAAGGGCTCTCATTCGATACTTCCTTACGATGTATTCCGAGAGCCCCTTGCCAGGAAGGCCCCCGAACTCAGGAACGGTGCTCTCGTTTGAGGCTTCCCCGTGATTCTGTCAAGTTGGTGGAGGCCCAACTGCGACGACGAGGGTTTTCGTTCGATACCTCCTCTAGATGTATTCCCAGAGGCCCTGACCAGAGGAGGGGCCCCCGAAGTCAAGAACGGCGGTATTGCTCGAGATTGTTTCGTAATTCAGGCAAGTTGGTAAAGGCCTAGACACGGCGTCAAGGGTTCCCGTTCGATGTTTCCCAACATATATTCCACGAGGCCCTGGCCAAACACGCACGGTGCTCTCGTTCAAGACCTTCTCGTAATTCAGTCAAGGCGGTGGAGGCCCAGCCACGATGAGAAGGGCTCCCCCTCAATGCTTCCTCACGCTTTACTCCGAGAGGCCCTTGCTAGAGAGTCCCGCAAATTTAGGAACGGCGCTCTCGTCCGGACAGTCTTAAATTGAGCGGACAGTCTTAAAACGAGCGTTTTCATTATCGTTGTCGTTGTTGTTTTCGTCGTCGTCGTTTGGTGTCGATGTCGTCGTCGTCCTCGTTCGGTGTCGTCGTCGTCGTTCGGTGTCGTCGTGGCCATCGTCGTTGTCGCCGCCCGCTGCCGTGGTCGCCGTCCTCAATCGATGGCCCGCCAAGGCGACGGAGGAGAGCGACGATGCGAAAGCAGGAGGAAGAAGAAGGGCCGTCGTTCCGCCGCCGTCGTTTTCCCAATCCGCTATCCTCCATTTCATCATCCGTGTCCTCTTGTTTTCTGTTCCACCCGTTGTTCTTTTTGTCCCTCCACCCATTCCATTCTCCTCCCCCAGATCGTTTCATCCATTCTCGGTCCACCTCCTTTTCCTCATCCTCGTCTTCGTTCTCCTCCCCTTCCGAATCCGACGCTAGACCCCTCCTACTCCTGCACCTCCTCCCCCTCTTCCTCCTCCTCCTCCCCCTTTTCCTCTTCCTCTTCCTCCTCCTTCCTCCCCCCCTCCTCGCAGAATGTCGGCTCGAGCTGATTAAGTATATCAGCTCGGCTTCTGCACAGGCGCATTCCGAAGTGGCAGCAGTGGTGCGATCAGTGTCGTTTTTTCCCGACACGTCGCCGCAGACACCCAGCGATGTCAGACGATGGTTCAGTACTTAGAGGCCCTCGCGTAATGGTAGTGCTCCGAATGCTCACGCATTGAGAACTGGGCATGCTGCATCTGGTGTTTTTGTGGCGGTGCTGGTCCTCAGCGCGTGCACAGGCAAATCGTGGGAACCCCAGCTGCACACGAATGATGCGTTTCGCCTCCATACTACACAGAAGAAGCATGGTAAAGTTCTGGGCGCAGTGGAAGCTCAAAAAGAGGCCACTGCTGAGGCGCAAAAGCCGTGCTCGAGTTGCAAGGAAAGGAGGTGGCTCTGCCACGCGAGACCAACGCCATCAATGAAGAGCGCCGCCGTACCATCCCAGTAATGGGCAGGAGGACTTGGTGTACCAGTCGGTACTGGTCCAATGGATGGGCGTACTCCCGAAGACGTGGACAAACTATGTCGTGCGGCGAACGGAAAAAAACACATTTGAGACGCACCTATAACATATGGTCGTTTAGCGCGCTCGGTACCCCTGCTGAGTACACCTGCTTTTGCTCCGCCATCCGCAGCTGCAGGACCAGTTCAACAGCCTGGGCCGCGAGGTCCTCGTGCGCGGTCTCCCCGTCTCAAAGCACGTCGGAAACATGTTTCCGTTCATCGAGCCTCCCAACGGCAAGTGTAGAACCACGTTTTGGACAAGCCGTACATGAGTAAGTCCATGGCTCTTCGTGCCCATGGGATTGGATCTGGTGCCGAAGCAGCTCTAGACCCCCAGCGTGCAGCACGCACGATTGCTGTCAGAGCTATTTGCTCTTCATCTGACGTTCGCGAACATGGTGCTCATTATGCTGGGGTCGCAGCGTTTGTCAGGTTGGCCTCGAGGATGCCCCGAGTGGCCTCCGCTCGCTGTTCTCTCTGCATTTACGCATGCAAGTAAGTGTCGGCCTGGATCAGGCCACCCCACATGCGCATGTTTCAGTCCACGGGCGCGCGTTTTCGAATACCTCTGGCACCATCGATGCAGGCGCAGATGGGAGTGCGGAGTCAAGTGTCACTCAGAAAAGCGGCTTCACACGCGAAGCAGGCTCGATCACAATGGCCCACTTGCGTCTCCCGCCCCTGGCCGCCAGCAGTTCTTCAATGCGCGGCTTATCTTGTGCCTTCATGACGCGGCTCGCCAGGTGGGAAGTGTTCGCGCGGCGGCTGAGCGGCGCGGAGCCCCCCGCAAACCCGCCCCGCTGCACCTGCGCGCAGGAGCTGTTCGTCTCACGCAGCTGGTCTATTGCGCCACTGAACGACCGCCTGCGCAGCCGCTGGCGGGTCCGAGACCGCGCCCGCGATTTCCGACGTTGCCCAGGCGCTCGTCCATCTGGCCACGCAGCGAGTCAGGAGACGGCGTCGGCAGCTTGGGGGCAATTCAACAGCACGCGGCCTGCGTTCTTCAAATTAGCTCAGTTGGAATTGCCGGGCGGCCTTGGCCAATCCCCCCCGCAACGACGCGCCGCCCATGCATTTCGCGACGGCGGGCAGCTTCGGGGTCAGCAGCGGGCGCGCGACGCGCGGCGCGAGTTCGAGGGGCGGCGAACGATGGCGAGGCGGATCTCGGGGGCAACCCGGCTGCCCTGAGTTTCAGGCAACCATGTTTGTTGGATGCGCACCTGGGCGAAGCGCGCGACGCGCGCTATGATGACTCGCGCTCGCGACAGCTACGGCGACCATCCACGCCCATACTCACTCGCAGCGCAGACGGGCTCACTCCAAGACCAATTTCCAACGGGGGGGAGCTGGGCGGCGAGGCGACACCTCTGAGCTCGCCGTCGCCATGCGAGGTTGGATGAGATCAGGAGGGGCCCGACGCAGGGGGGCGCCCCGGGTTTTCGGTCGCCGCGCGGCGGGCGCAGCGTCGCGGAAGGCGGCGACCCGAAAGCAAGACCAAGGCGCCCGGCTGATCCGCGAGCTCCCTTCGGTGGCGAGCGAGGCCATCTCCCCCGACAGCGACGACGCGACGGCGGGCTCGGGCTCGCTCCAGCGGGATCGGGCTCGCGGCGCGGGCAGGGCCCCAAGATGGGGGCGACGCGGGCGACGCCCAGCTGACCGGGCTGAGGGCCGCGCCATGGAATGAGCGGCGAGAGATGGCCGCCGCGGGCCCAGCTGAGTTGACGAACGAGACAGCGGCGGCGGTGCCCCACGGCGTCCGAGGAGGTGCCAGGCACGTTGTCCAGCGGCCCGGCGACGCGCCGCGCGCTGAGGCGGGGGCTCTTCAGACTCGGCGTCGTGCGCCGGGGGCCCTGCCAGGCGCCGAGGTGCCCGATCGCGACAGCTTCCCTCGCGACACGCCTGATGATCTTCGAAGTGTTCCCGTGAGTTTGTTTGCGAGTTTCACGGCGTCTACGCCGGGCGGTTTCCATCCGAGACGCGTCGGCTGGCTGGGCGACGCCGGCGCGCCCGTCCTCTGCGTCTTGCGCGAGGCGGCGGAGAAGCTCGACTGATCCCCACCGCGCGCCACGCGCATGGTACTTCCACCGCGTGACTCGCCTGCTTCGCGCGCACGGGAGCGGCCTCGACGCCCGCAGCTCGATCATTCTTCCGCGGCCACGGATCGCGCGCTCCGGGCGCCCAGGGCCAGCGAGAGTCCTGAATCACGCGGGCGGGCAAGGACGGTGGCCTCAGCGGCTGCTGAGCCCCAGGATCAGGTTGCCCCGGGGTTCACGGGGGGCGGCAAGCACACGCGCGAGCCGTTTGTTCCGGCGGCTTGGTAGACGAGGGATTGCCAGTTGAGCGCCCCAGGGGCGGTCGCGTTCAATCTTTGACGCGCTCCAAGGTTGGCCGCGCTCGCCCCGGGCTTTCGCTTCGAACGGGTCGTCAACAGGAGACGTTGAAATATGCGTTGTCAAAATGTATGCCATCGGGGCCGTTGGCGCGTTCGTCGCGGGTTGGGGGGGCTTGCTTGCTCGGATGTCGTCACGCGTGGATGATGACACGACGCTGGCTGCCAGTGAAGGAAGCGCCCCACATCGTGGCGCTCCTGAAAGAGCCACCGATTTGAACAGGACGTTGACGCACGAGCTTAGAGCGAAGGTATCAGAGCCCAATGCAACCACAATTGCTAGTTCGGCGTCGCAAGCAGCTGAGCTGGCGCAGCAGCTCCAATAAGAGGGTCCCCAACGGGTTCGGTCATTCATGCGTCGCTATACCCCGGCGGTGAGTTTGCTCCTGGGCAAGTTCGGCCAACTCGCAAAGTTCCCTCGTAGATGTCGGCATCTTCTTCGGCTGTTCCAGTTTCGACATGCTCGAGCCTGGCGCTTTCGGAGGTGGTCGAGGCGCGATGGGCAATGCGCGGGCGCCCTGC